GTGTATTTCATTTGAACACTTTTGTACTCATAGTAAATGCAGCTGTTTTGTTTATGTTATAATGTCCAAGTGTATTTTGCTCTGTTGTTTTCTTTGAAATTCAGTTATTCTACCTTTTGATATATTTATTGCTGTTATATCTTGTTCTGTCTGTTGTAAAAGCACCTTGATAGCAGTTTATCTGTTTTAACTGTGCTCTATAAATAAAGATGACTTGACTTGACTTGACTTGACTTCATGGAAGAAGAACCTCAGCTTAGTCTGTTAGCCTTTGCACAAGCGCTGACGCTTTATTGTAGAGCTGGGCGATATGATCAAAATTTTATATCACGGTATTTTCAACATTTTCACCGGTTTCACAGTATTTGACTGTATTTTTCTTTTCATCACTGCTCAGCAGAAAAAAATGTACAAACCCTGCTTATTGAGTTTTTTTCTTTTACTGTACCTCTGTCTGTGTCGCTGTTTCCCTCCTCTGTGTCTGTTCTTCTCTGACTGGTGGTTGGAGACAGTAGTCATGCATTTTGGTCCAGTCGTGAAGGAGGAGGGTTAAGAAAAGATTATGATTGGGTTTATTGTTTTATGTTATTTATTAAACTAGCTTATCAGCACGACTCACCTTGCACACCAGTCAATTCCAACTCCACTACGAACTACTTCCTGTAGGCTTTTCACAATAGAACCACGTTAAGTCTCCATCAGCATAACGTCTCCATATTAACTAACCGCGTTAAATCTAACTGTGCACGTCACTGAAGAGGTGTTTACTACATTCAGCGACGGCGGAAACGGGATGTTTTTTTAAACGTCATTCAATATAAGCAGCGGAATCGCCATCCGCGGCTGCAACTAGCTGCTCCAAACATTAGCATGCTAACCCACATAGCGGTGCAGCAAGGAAAAATGTCCCCCAGGAAACAACAGTTCACTGGCGGCCGCGACGAAACGTTCCGCTATTTAAACCGGAATGTCCGGTATTCAGCAAATTCATATAACAAAAATAAAAACCGGTATTCGGTACAAAACGGTATACGCCCAGCACTACTATATTGACTTATATGTATTAGTTCGGCGCTAGCGCGACAAGCTAAACTGAGGTCCTCCATCCATATTTTCAGTTGCAGGCTGAGTCATTTTTGTGTTCCCCTCTCTMTCBTYTGYWWGGAGGACCTCAGTGATGAGAGGAGAATGTGTAGCACTGAGCTAATACATTTATATGGTGATAGCATCGGGGCTAATGCTAAAGCTAACAGTCTAAGCTGAGGTTCTTCCTCCATGAAGCAGCTCTGTTGTCCTCCATCTATATTTTCAGTTCCAGGCTGAGTCATTTCTACCTTCTCCTCTCTGTCAACGCTCTCTGGTTTCATTTAAAAGAGTTGATCATCAGATATTGTCCAAGATTAACCTTCAGGGTGGATATAGCTCACTCACACCGAGGACCTATCCACGTCATCATTTACCCAGAATGCTTTGTGTGTAAATAAAATGGCCCCATCCGTGTAATATATTTTTAAARMTTTAGTTTAAAAATTATAAAAAAATAAACAGCCTACAGTAATTTTACCGTCTTTATTTTACAGTTAAAATATATGTTTATTAAATAAAGTCTAATGTTACAACTAATCATGGATCCCTTTAAGCACCGCCTTTTATACCAGTCAGTCTGCCGGTGTGATTTCAGTTGAACTCTTTCTCAGCATCTGCTGCTAATAAACACATATCAAAACAGTCATGGATTAGGCCTGTCACAAATCTAGTTGAATCATAATCACAAATATTTGAGGCAGATTACATCTCTGACGGAACACATTTATTCATCTACATGAAAACTTCAGATCTGAAGGAGATGGCCAAGTAAGATGAATGATTAATAAACTTGGCTTTCAAACAGTTTTTCTGGGTGAATTTATTTGCAGGCTTTTACAGCGTAAGATGAAATGAAATTTGGCTGCTGCTGTGACCTCTTGTTCAGTTTGAGAAGTTTGTGTGAGAAACGGTTATCTTTAGACGTGTCAGGTATTTGCTGCTTCTCAGCTCAGGTG